TCTCTAGCAATACATCTCCAGGAAATTTCGAAAGTGCTGATTTTTCAGTTTTGTAAACGGAATGTTAGCAGAAACGATGACCTTGTACATACCACTCCACAATACATGCTGCAGCTCCATTGCTTTATTGTTATAAGTGTCTGCCAGAGGTACTTGTTTCTTTCCTATTCTCTTGGAAGAATTTCGCATGTGTGTCGACACCTTCGTGAGTAATTTGGAATTTCTTGTCACAAGAAATCTATATTTTGTGTATAACATGGAAAAATCAAAACTCTTTTCATTGAAAATTATGTTTCTCCTGGATTTATTTACATTCTACTTACATGTTTGTTACATGCTTGACATAAATCAACTTTTGCGTAACTTGACAGAGTGGCGTCCTCTTAAATCCATTTTCGAAGCTAAACACTTCTAGAAGACTTGTTCTTCGTCGTCATGGTAAAACTCCCTACTGAAACTGACAGCACTACTTTAAATACCGCGCTTTGAATGCGACGAAATGAATTGACGATTGATTTGATGTACCCTTCAGCGAAACTGTTTCTCCGAATTAGTAACTGCTATGCGCTCCATCCTCCCGGTAACGGAATCGCAGCGCAGCTGTTAGTGCTTCTCCAGATGCAGAAGATATCAGCTTTTGTAATCTATGTCGACAAGATGCCACTGAGCAAAGCTATTTCTTAGAATTACTTTCTCTGCCTGACGTCCCACATTGTTAGTAATGCTCTCTCGAGAGATTGAAAAAAACTGCTTACTTTAGAAATCAGCAGCTGAATAGAGAAGTCAAGCGACAGTCTTGAGAGGGTCAATAATATCAAAATATGCATGTATGCACATATTGCCAATATATACAAAAATATGCGCTTTACAAAAATTATGTATTCTTTTCTTGTGTTTTGAATCGTATTTTCTTACAAAAATAATTTAGTCGCCAGGAATAAAATATGCGAGTTTGGTGAAATCCGCCCTCTAGTCATTATATACCTTTCTGAACACTAAGGCGCATGTATTATGCGACAAAGTAAACTGTTCGCAAGAAACATATTGCAGTACATCATTTTGCATAGAAGAGGGGTAACTTATTGTTTTAAAATTATGTCTTTTTAGTTCTGAAAATATAAGATTTCTTACTTGGGAAAATTTCTTATTGTTAGTAGTATGCCGCGTTAATCATTAGTAGCTTTACAATCCTTTAAGTACGATAGAAACTTTCTTGACTGAATCCTGGATCTAAAAAGGAAAGCGACTTGCATTACTTCCTGCCTGAAAAACACACCCAACCGAATTGTAAGTTTTCTACCTGTCAATGAGAACGTTCTCACGCTCTTCCTGGAAAATGAAATCAAGTTTCCTTCTTGTCTTTCACTACTTGCATTTCAGAGCAACACTAAAAGGAGAGTAGTATGCCAGTGGTACTATTTCTTTACGTTGTAAACTTTGTGAAAGAGTGAAAGCTTTGTGCGCTTGTTTTGCAAAGCATTGATTCTGGTACAAATACATTTGCATTTCTGGCCCAGTACTACTGCCATGTATTACGTTGGAAGTCTTGTCCTGAAATTTTTTATGAACTTAATGACGATATTCTGTAATAATTTTCATTGTCAACTGAAGTAAGTATGAATAATCAGTTCTTTTCTGTCTGGAACAATACATTTATTATATCATTAAAAACATTATCCACTTGTCGGTACTAGGGTTCAGAAATAAGATTTTATCTCTCGAAAAATCGTCTATTTTCGGCACATGACGGCAATAATTTCTCTCTTCACGAAGTAAGCTGAGAAAGTGAAAAAAATGCTAAATACTGGATAGTTCATATGATATTCTTCAAAATGGTTCTCTGATATTCTTGCTTCCTCATCGTTAAACGGCTTGCTTTTTCACGAAATTTTAAAACATCTCACTTTTTGAGATTCGACTATATATTATTATAAAATATAGTGTGTTTTTATGATCTATTTCTGTTTTAGTGTACTCTCTTACAGTACCTTTTCTCATAGTGTGTATTTTTTGGTATATTAAAATTCTACAATTAACATTGATATAACAATCCTCATATTACTCAAAATCTTTCTTCGTGATAATTATGGTTGAAGAAGAACTGACATCTTAAACTTATAATCCCCTACAATGCATCTTTTAATCACATGGAAATTCTCATTTTCGGGACAAGAAAAAATTAAATATTTAACTCAAGCACTTCATTCTTTACTAAATTTTACACTACGAGTATTTATACATTTTACTCATTTGAATGTCGTGTTCGAAAAGAAGAGAGATAGATTAAGTGTTTTGAATCAGCCTAGAAATCACGAAATTTAATGTAACAAAAACACAGAAAACCAAATATATATAAAATCCAACTACAGCACAAATTTTCATTTTTTCTATGTATTGTGTTTTTTGTTGTGTGTACTAAGTAATAAAACTAATTTGTTGTCAATGTATTTCATAAAAAATGAACTCTTATAAGTTCAAAATGATTAATGACTACGTGCGGGTCTAATGAAATGCTGCCATTATTGGAATTTTATCAAAACTGCAAGAAAAACGTCAGACAAACTTCAGCCGTGCGAAGTCTAATAAGTAATAGTGCGAAGACTGAGATAAGAACTCTCGAATTCTTGACGGTTGCCTGGCTGGGTGCCAAAATCGATGGCGAAGACTTCGAATCTTTCAAGTTACTAAAGACTGGTCTGTCGATACTCGGTCGAAATTGATAATTTGTAGAGACATAAATCGATAACTATCTTAGAAAAACAATATTTTTTCTAATATTAAATAATATTGTAAAAGTGGCTAATATTAAAAAGTTCGGGAAGGGGTCTGTCCTTTAGGTGGGCTTGGCTGAATCCTGCACATCAACTGCCACGAAACGATTCAATGTAAAAGTTTAACTCATGGTAAATTTTAGAAGTCGTAGAAAATGTACCGTATGACACTCGATGTTATGGGTATTAATACACTCGTGTGAAGTTTACTATATTCGCTCGTTAGTCGCTCTTATCGTAATTTCACGCTCAAGTCTTAATACCCATCGTTATAAAATAATTTCATAATGTACTATTACAAACTTAGCAATGGAAATGAATACACTGCCTCTTGTTGCATTCATGGCAATATTTTTTGCCCGTTTGTGACAACTCATGTATGTTTGTAACTTGAGAATAAGCTATTTTAATGTTTGCTTCTTACCCCCTCTGTCAGAATTGCATTGAACTATGAAATTAAACTAGAGCCGGACAACTGGTCGGCAAAGTCTGACAATCGTACTAAAATGCCAATTACGTTGCATATAAAAAGCACTCAGGTTTGTTATTTTCATATAAAATTACTCCGTTTTATACAACATAGGAACACCGCTGAAATTATTATACCGCTCAGGAATGATAAAATGTATAAAATGTTACGCAACATATTCATATAAGACAGTGCTAAGAAATTTTCACCAGAGTTTTCAATATTTGTAATGCATATTTGAATGGGGGAAAACAAAAACGTTTGATATCTAGGAGCTTCAAAGTTTGAAGAGCAAGCAAAAAGGTTCAAAGTTCCAGACATTGATCATTCTTTTTTCAATTAATAGTTGAAGGACACTCTAAAGGCGTCAGAGAGTTCACCGCAACTAACTTTTATGCACAGAATACAAAGTTAAATTAATATTTAAAGAAGTTTCCCAACCTTAACTCAAAACCGGCAAAATGTGACATCGAAACTTTTTGTTGCACCTATTCATTAATATTGAGATGAACTTTCTTCGAATATTTGTTTATTTCTATTCAGTAAGTGAATAATTTGTCTAGTAATATGTTGGTGGCATAAGTGTAAAATTTCATTACCTTTCTTGTCCTGAAGAACTTTAAGACAATTTAATTTAATGCACAAAAACTACTTTCGAGTCTCTGGCTTATTAAAAATGGTTTTATTTTTATTATTCGTACTGAATAAAATTTCTATTTTTTTAAATTATTGAGATTCATTTTTAAAGTTATCTGGATTATTTTTAAAAAAAAGTATGCAAGCAAAATCGACATACGCTTCCTGTTAAACAGCAATATTTTAGTCATATCACTCCTACATTTAAAGTGAAGTCTGAAGGTAATGTTGTTTTTAATGGGTATTTGTGATTTATATAATGACAATATTACAAAAAATAACAATATTTACTTTTTTGTATTTTAATTTTTAATATTTTTTCTTTCAGCTGAGCTCCTGTTTCAACAAATTCAAAAAAGGCATTGAAGTAATCTTAAGTGGTGAGTTAAAATATTTTTTTCCTTATTGTAAGTTACTGAGTTACAATTAAATTTGAAATTATGTTTTACATACGTCTTAAAGAATTTGAGTTTCAGTATACACATTTATAATTGTTTTTAACCAGAACCACTATCACACTACGATCCACTGTGTACATTATAATCCACACAGACTGCATACATTATAATCCTTATACTTAGTTCTTTCTTAGTGTTATTTATTTAAAAGAACAAATCATGTAATTGTTATTAATTGGTACACGAAGGTAGTCGACTTATCTTACCCACTTCATTATTTTGTACCTGGGGCATCTAATAACGTTAACAATTAAGAATAATGACAAATATTTAGTTTTATAATTGAAAAGCGTTGTGTTTCTGCATTTACAGCTCTTACAAATGATGTGTTTGAATAATAATAATAATAATAAT